ATTGCAAGGCCAGGCCCAGCCTGGGCAGCTTAGTTACTTAGGGACACTCTATATCAAAATTTTATAAAATTTTTTAAAGTTTCAGGGATGTAGTTCATTACAAAGACCTCCCCAGTGTCGAAAAGAAAGAAAAGATGGAAAGTATCTTTTCTCTGTCAACTCCCCTGTGAAGTTTGGCCCTTCTCTCCAAAGCCTTTCTCACCTTGCAGAGAAGGGACATAATGTTTGCTGCTGAGATTTGGAGCTCTGTCTATGCCAGTAATGCTCCCCTGCACCTCAATGAGAACTACATGTGTAATAGGAAAGAAATAGAAATTTTGCAGGTTGGAATAATAAAGAAAATTGGACTCAAACCAACCAGAATAGTAATGTACCACATAAAAAAGTTTAGCAACTTCCCCATTATTTCAGAGTAGATGTCTTCCCGGGGAGCCAGAATTAGTAGACAGGCTGGGAAACTGCAGGGAGGGACACTGTTAGAGTACTGTGACAGCAGGAAAAGTCCAAGCCCTACCACTGGCCACCTACACCACAGACACTCCCTGGGTTACTGCCCATGAGTGAGCAGAAGCATAGCTCCCCGGCATTCTGGTGCTCACCAGCCCCCCAGGTCTACCATGAGGTGCAGCCAAGCCCTGCCTGTGCCTGAGTCTTGAGAGGCTGCACAATTCGATCACTATGAAGATCCTGCCCACAGTGCCTCAGCCCTGTCAGAGGACAATGGGATGTTATGGAAAGAAACTCTATTCCTGTCTTTGAGCCACACTGGAGACCCCAGGCTGTCAGAACAGGGAGGTTTCAGAAGACTCATAATAATCAGATGATTACTGATAAAGCACGGAAAACACTTGCAGGACACCCAGAGGGCAATCAGCAATCTACAGGCACTCTGCATTTGCTGCAGTTTCTCATTACTTAAAGCCTAAGCTCCAAAACTGTGTAACTGAAACCCCACTCAGTAAAATTTTAAACAATCATCTCCAAATGATATGTATTTACTTGCTCATACATTATGTATATGTGCCAATGTTCTAACAATATCATGTACATTATAAAACATAGAAAACATATTTTTAGGGCAGGGGTGTAACCTAGAGATAGAATACTTGCCTGACATGTGTGAGGTGCTGGTTTTGATCCCCAGCACCCCCTCAAAAAAGCCCAGATATTTAAAAAGTTATGATAAAGCAGCAAATAAATTGTTACAAATTATCTTGGTGAGCATATCACTGTCCAACATTTAGGGTGGATAGCTGCAGTGGATACAAACTCATTCTTAATAAACTTCTTGATTTTGATTTCATTGGCCAATCCTTTGCTAGATGGTGACAATGTGGCCATTTTCACCTCATGCACTTGATGAGGAACTTGCGCAAGTAGTAGAAGTGTGTACTCTGCCATCTGCCTCATTTCTGCTTCTTGTCTGCTTCACTAGCAACATCTTTAATCCAGACTTCCTTTTCAGAACTCTGTATAAAACCCGTCCATTTTGTGTATGTTAAATGTGATGTAACTAAATAATATAATCCGTAAATTCATTTAATTAGTCAAATGTACAGAAAAACACACTAGAACCAGCAAAGGAGTGGAGTCCACACTGTCAGCCATGAAGGAGCCACTGTTCATCCCAGAGGTTGCTGCAAATCCCCTGTGATAAGTGACCACCTGCCACATGGGCCAATTGAAGGGAGGCTGCACTGCCCCTTTACACATAAGTATAGTGGACCCTTGACTTACAAACTCAATTGGTTCCCAAGGGTTGGTTGTAAGTCAAGTTAGTTGTAAGTCAATATAGCTGAGATCCAGATGTTTACCTGAGTACTTATTCGCTACAGATAGCAAGAGGCAAATGAATCTTCCATTAACTCAAGTTGTACCTGTGTTGGGCTGGTTGTAACTTGAGGGTTCACTGTACTAGTGAAGGTTTTGTTTGCTTTTCAGATTATAAATAAAATGAGTATTTTGTGGCTCATTTGCCACAGCCCCACCCACCATTATGACACCATTATGGAGACTACTGGTCTCAGCTCTGGCATTAGCTGGATGCCCAACTAGTATTTCTCCCCTTCTCACCACCCACAGCTACAGAAACACACCTCCCATCACCAAATCTTTCCATTACTTATAAGGTATTTATTTATAAGGCAGTGCCCAAGTCAGGCACAGTGGCACATGCCTGTATTTCCAGGAGGTTGTGGCAAGAGCCCTAAAAGTACAAGATCAGCCTAGACGACATAAGACTTTTTCTCAAAAAAAAAGAAAAAATTAAAATGGATGGAGGTCTTGCTCAGTGATAGGCTCTGGATTCAATCTCAGCACTGAAAAACAATCCAAAAAAAAAAAAAAAAATTAAAAGGGAGGGGGGTCTTGCCCAGGGATAGGCCCTGGATTCAATCTCAGCACTAAAAAAAAAATTAAAAAAAAAAAAAAAAAAAGGAGTTCAGATTCCTCAGCATAGTGTAGAAACCTGTGCACTACGCTGCTACATCTTTCCAGCTTATACCTTTTCTTTCTCCCTCACAAATTTTATGCACAGTGCCAGCCATCTACTTCTCCAACAGAATAGATTATTTTAGGTCTTGGCAAGTGCTCTTATCTGACAAGACTGTCTTTCTTTCACTTTTCTTTCTTAAAAATCTACAATTCATCTTTCCACCTCCAACTTCGCATCCTCCTCTGTAACAGGGAGTTGTCTCTGCCAACTCAAGGAACAATGACAGTCACATTCTCTCTTTCCCAGTTAATTATTTCAGCATTCACCTTCCTCTTGAAACTTCTCCACAACCTTGAAATTTTTCTAACAAATCAAAGGAGCATATTTCATTACAGAAGGGTCATTCCACTACCTAGCCATGCAGAGAGAACTGAAGTCAGATCCTTCTTACTCTTGTTAAAGTCTGCCTGCCTTGTTGCGCTGTCTTTAAAACCAAAGGACACTTGTCACTGTGTGCACATCACTTGTCTTCTTTACATTACCCACATGAACACTGCTCTGTCAAGCTGCTCCAGCTGGTTCAAGCCCTTCCATAAGTACATGTCTAGACCCTAAATCTTGTTCCTTATGTTCACACATATGTAATGATCCATCAGTGCCCTGAAACATACATCCTAGAAAGGTAGTGGGTCCCAAAAGGATTCCACCTTGTGTCAAAGCTTGGGCCAAACCAGAGCTCTGGGATCGAAAGTTTGAGGTCAGTCTGGGAAATTTAGCAGGGCCCTGTTTCAAAATAAAATTTAAACAAGGAGGAGTCTGGGGATGTAGCCCAGTGGCATAGTATTGTCTTGCTAATGTGCATGAGGCCTTGGGTTCATTCAATCCCCAGTAAGATAAAGAATAAAAAAATGTTTAAAACTTGGCTCTTGGGGATGAAACAAGTATGGACAACTCTTTTTTATTTTTTCTTTATTTTAGTAGAAACTTATCCAATCCTACCAGCACCACTAGTTCCTGACTATTCTGGCTCTATTAGCAAATTGATCATGGTTTTCCCCATGACTTTTATAACAAGGGGTGAGCAACTCTTACTAAGCCACCAAAAAAACAGGTTTCTTGCTATACTTTTACAACAGAGCCCCTTTAAGATCAATCAAGGCCATGTGTCAGTCAGCTCAGGTTGCCATAAGAAAATAGACTGGATATCTTAAAAGACAGAAATTTATTTCCTCTGAGTCTAGAAGGTAGGAGGTCAAGATCATGGGTCCCATAAATTTGGTTTCTGGTGAGGCTTCTCTTCCTATGCAGACAGTCAACTTCTTGCTCTGCCCTCATTGTGCACATGGAGAGCAGATTCTGGGGTCTCTTCCCCTCAGAAGACCAGCAGTATTGGATTAGTATCTGCCTTTTGACCTCATTCATCCCTAATTACTTCCCTAAAGGTTCCATCTTCAGATAGGAGGTTAAGATTTCAACATAAGAATGGGGGTGGGGGGTCAGCTCAGTAGTTCCACTGCCTGCCTCCCAAATGCAAGGACCCTAGTTTTATCCCTGGTACCAAAAAAAAAAAAAAAAAAAAGAATTGGGAGGAGGGGCTGGTTATTTAGCTCATTGGCCCCACACCTGCCTTGCAGGTGCAAAGTCCTGAGTTTGATCCCCGGTACCAGAAGAAGAAGTAAAAAAACAGGAGAATATGGAGGGTGTGGCACATAGTTCATAGCAGTTACATAATAGTTCATAATAGCTACATCAAGTTGTGCCTGTACTGAGAGTATTAGTAGCTTATCCAACTAAAGAGAAAGAGAAATTAACCTTCAAAAGGCCTCCAATCCTCACTTCACATATGCAAGGCTTCCCTCAACATGTATCTCACAAGGAATTGAGTGCTCCATTTTCCATGCAGCCTTAGTACTTGCTTCATAGGCCATGCTATGGGCTAACTGTGCCCCCGCCGCAAAATATATGATGAGGTTCTAACCCCAGTACCTCAGAATGTGACTGTATTGGGAGACAGTCCTTTACCAATTTGACAAAGTTAAAATGGAATAACGTGGGTGGGTCTTAATCCAATACGACTAGTGCCCTTAGGGCAAGAAAAAAATCATGTCTATATAAATACACAATATATGATGTTATATATGATGAATGAAATAAAACATATGATGAATGTTTTCATTTTAAAATTGTATTACAGTAAAAGGCACATTACTATTAATTTCCCTCAAAAGACTTCCCTTGCCCCTTCTCCCCAGTGGTGAGTGCTAAGGGTACTGATTATAAGCTCCGAGCTCAGAACACATATTAAAAAATTTTTTAAATAAAATCTTTTTTAAAAAATCAAAAAAAATTTACAAACATCCGGGTCTCCCCCGCCGGAGACTTATTTCTGTCTTCCTCTTTCATAAAATAACCCAGTGAATCAGCCGAGACCGACCCACCGGCCCGCAGCCCTGCAGAAGCGAAAGGGACTGAGACACCTACGCCTTCCAGGAGTTCCGACCACAGCCACCCGCGCGCCCGCAGCAGCGGATCGTCCGTTCTGTGTCCGTTGAGTAGTTTTCGGTTAGGTTGATTTTTGCCCCTCCGCTCTTGACCCCACCCCCAGCCCCGCTCCCCTCCACCCGGCTCCGGCCCTTGCACCCGCTCTCCTGCTCTCGGAAAGGTCGCGGCCCGCTGCCCTCTGGGCAGTCGTGCCGAGATGAACCCCAGAGCCCCCAGCTACCCGATGGCCTCGCTCTACGTGGGGGATCTACACCCCGACGTGACCGAGGCGATGCTCTACGAGAAGTTCAGCCCGGCCGGGCCCGTCGTCACCATCCGGGTCTGCAGGGACACCATCACCCGCCGCTCCCTGGGCTACGCGTATGTGAACTTCCAGCGGCCTGCGGACGCAGAGCGCGCTTTGGACACCATGAATTTTGATGTTATAAAGGGAAAGCCCTTACGCATCATGTGGTCTCACGGTGATCCATCACTTCGCAAAAGTGGAATAGGCAACATATTCATCAAAAATTTGGACAAATCCATTGATAATAAAGCACTGCACGATACATTTTCTGCTTTTGGTAACATCCTTTCCTGTAAGGTGGTTTGTGATGAAAATGGTTCCAAGGGCTATGGATTTGTACATTTTGAGACACAGGAAGCCGCTGAAAGAGCTATTGAAAAAATGAATGGGATGCTCCTAAATGATTGCAAAGTATTTGTTGGACGATTTCAGTCCCGTAAACAAAGAGAAGCAGAATTTGGAGCTCGGGCAAAAGAGTTCACCAATGTTTACATCAAGAATTTTGGAGAAGACATGGATGACGAGCGCCTTAAAGATCTCTTTGGCAAGTTTGGACCTGCCTTAAGTGTGAAAGTAATGACTGATGAAAGTGGAAAATCCAAAGGATTTGGATTTGTGAGCTTTGAAAGGCATGAAGATGCACAGACAGCTGTGGATGAGATGAATGGAAAAGAGCTCAATGGAAAACAAATTTACGTTGGTCGAGCTCAGAAAAAAGTGGAACGCCAGACAGAACTTACACATAAATTTGAACAGATGAAGCAAGATAGGATCACCAGATACCAGGATGTTAACCTTTATGTGAAAAATCTTGATGATGGTATTGATGATAAACGTCTCTGGAAAGAGTTTTCTCCATTTGGTACAATCACTAGTGCAAAGGTTATGAAGAAGGGTGGTCGCAGCAAAGGATTTGGTTTTGTATGTTTCTCCTCCCCAGAAGAAGCCACTACCGCAGTTGCAGAAATGAATGGTAGAATTGTGGCCACCAAGCCACTATATGTAGCTTTAGCTCAGCGCAAAGAAGAGCGCCAGGCTCACCTCACTAACCAGTATAGGCAGAGAATGGCGAGTGTAGGAGCTGTGCCCACCCCTGTAATCAACCCCTACCGGCCAGCACCTCTTTCACGTTACTTCATGGAAGCTGTCCCACAGACTCGGAACCATGCTGTGTACTATTCTCCTAGCCAAATTGCTCGACTAAAACCAAGTCCTCACTGGACTGCTCAGGATGCCAGACCTCATCGATTCCAGAATCTGTCTGGTGCTATCCAACCCGCCACTCCTAGACCACCATTTAGCACAGTGAGACCAGCTTCTTCACAGGTTCCACGAGTCACGTCAACACAGTGTGTTGCAAACAGGTCAACACAGAGAATGGATCCATGTCCTGCAGCTGCTGCCGCTGCAATTACACCTGCTGTCTGCACCATTCCCCAGTATAAATATACTGCAGGGGTCCGCAATTATCAGCAGCATCTTAATGCACAGCCACAGATTACCGTGCAACAGCCTGCTGTTCATGTACAAGGTCAGGAGCCTTTGACTCCTTCCATGTTGGCATCTGCAACCCCTCAAGAGCAAAAGCAAATGTTGGGTGAACAGCTGTTTCCCCTTATTCAAGCCATGCACCCTACTCTTGCTGGTAAAATCACTGGCATGTTGTTAGAGATCGATAATTCAGAACTTCTTTATTTGCTTGAGTCTCCAGAGTTTCTCCCATCTAAGGTTGATGAAGCCGTAGCTGTAATACAAGCTGCCCAGAAAGCAGTGAACAGTGCCACTAGAGTTCCAACTGTCTAAAATTGATGAGGGACCACAAAAAGAAACTCGTGCTTCACCAAAGAAAAATGTCTAAACATCGAAAAACTTTAAATACTATGAAAAAAATTGCAAAATATAAAATAAATTTTAAAAAGGAAAGAAAACTTTGAATTGTATTGTATGTATTGAGCAAATGCCTGGTCTAGCAAACAATGCTAGTCATAGATTACTTGATTTAAAAACAAAAAAAACAAAAACAAAACAAAACAAAAAAAACTCCCCTTTGAACACTCATTATTCTTGGCATTTTCTGAAATGGTTCTGGAAGTCCTTTTTGCTGAGTGTCTTTACAAGATATGATCAAAAATACTATGAATGTTGCTGCAGAATACCATCCCGTGAAAAGACAGACTCATAAAACACTATTGTGTATCCTCTTATGTCTGGTGCTATCCACCCAGGCACACCTAGAGCACCATGGTTCTTCCTCAAAGTCGAATGACTAGGAAAGGTAACTTTTAAAATCAATTCAAGACATCAAGTCAGACACATCAGCAAAACTAAAGATGCTCATCTTAGAGAACTTCCATAACTGCTTCAGAAAATGGCAAGAACAATGGCATAAATGTACCCTGAGACTTACGACAATGCATCTTTTACAGTAATAATTTTTTAAATATTCAGCCTATTTTTTAAATCATACCATGTACATATAGAAGGAAAACAATGTGAAGACACAGGGAAAGGCAGCCGTCTGCAAAGACAAACCAACCCTGACATACCTTGATCTCAGACTTCCAGCCTTGACAACTATTAGAAAAACTTTCTGTTTGTTAAGCCACTCAATCTGCAGCACCTCATTCTTGCAGCCTTAGCAAAACATTAATTTTCCCCATCAAGAAGTGAATCCATAGTAATAGTTCTTGTTAAATCTTTGTGATTTTTGTGGTGCTGAATAGAACCTAGACTAAGTGTTCTTGGCATGTTTATTGATGAAGGGGAGAGTTCAGAGAGGTGTGACCCTGAGCCCTGCAACTTGTTACCTTATAATCTGTCTTCTGTGTTTTTTGAAAATTCTATTCTACTCATGATGAAAGGAATCACTTGGCAATTTCTGTTAACATTTTTCTTTTTCTCTGGCCTCTAACTATGCTTTACATAAATTATTGGTGAGCCAGAGCATGCCGAGGGCTTGCTGTGGGTAGAGAACTCTGGTAGAAAGTACAGGTACTACAACAGCAGGTCTAACAGTACTATGCAACATAAACACAGTGTGAACCACAATTACACCTAAAATTAAAAGTGATAATCTCTCTTGACCACATTAAAATAACCTGAAAAGAAAGAGATGAAATTAATCTTAATAGTATGTGTTTATCTAACCCAACATACCCAAGACATTTTAAATTCAATGTGTAATCAATATTTTTAAAACACTGAGATATTTTACATTTACTGCTTTGTACTAGGTCTTCAAAGTCAAGTGTGTATGATGCACTTAGAGCAGATTCTTCAAGTCCAGTTCTGTAATACTGAATTCCAACTAGCTAAATTTCAAGTGTTCACTACCCACTCGTGGCTAGTGGCTTCTACGTTGGATAGCTAGAGTTAGCAGTTAATGATATAGATTCTGGAAACAGAAGGACATGGGTTTGTACTCAGTCCATCACTGACTGACTTAACCTTCCTATGCTTCATTTCTGCATCTCTAAAATGAAGTTAATACTTTACTTCCTAGAGCTAACATGGAGATCAAATAAAAATATCCATGAAACACTCTCAGAACAGAGACATGACAGCATGGCCACCATGTGCCAGGCTCTGTACTATGTAATTTACAAGGTTAATGCTTAATAAATTGTAGTAGTTATTATTCTTAATTAGTGCTGATTTAACAGGAGCCGAAGCAATTTCTCCATCAGATGTCAGATGAATAGTCTCCCCCCAGTTCCGTTTTTCACCCTCTAAAATGGCAATAATGAATGAATCTGCCACTAAAAATAAAATGGTCTTCCTGCTTAGGTAGTATAACACCTTAAAATAGTCACATTAGTTTGGGACTCTTTGGCTTAAAATACTAGACCACAGCAATAAAGACAAAAGTTATACCCTTCTTTTCTTTGTGTGTACTTTCTGATCCATTTACTTTATTACTCCCCTAGGTAGAGAAATCATTCTGAGCATTTAGAACCCCAAGATGATCAGTCTTATGGTGCTTTTTTTTTTCTTTACAAAAAGAGCTTTTCCAAATTCATTCAGCTACTATTTCTGAATTATGAGTGCATAAAAAGAGATACGCCTTTTTTGTAAGATCTCATAATTCACCCTCATATAACACAAGTAATAAATGTAAGAAGGCAGCTCCCTGTTAAAATATGTATAATATATTACTGTATCTACTGTATATTTTCATTTTGGCATACAATGAGCTCTCCTTCACCTTACGATAATAAATTGCATAACCTCAGCCATATCATAGCATTAAATAACAGAACACAAGTAAATCACTGTAGTGCTACTTTATGCCTTGTAACTACTTCCAGTTTTGGATCTCAAAGCCCTTTATAAACACAAATTAATTAGCTCCAGGCCTATACATGATTAGCTTTAATACACTTCTAGAAATTATAATACAGAAATAAGAGGAACTTGATTATAAATGCTAGTATTTTTAAAAGAATGGAAACCAGTGGCTCTCCACGGGGGTGATTTAATTCCCCAGGGGACATTTGGTAATATCTAGAAATATTCTCAATTGTCATAACTGGGTGAGAAGAGCGGTGTTACAGTTTAGATCTGGAAAGTTCCCTGAAAGTCTAATGAGACTGGGCTTTGGGGAGTTAATTGGATTATGAGGGTGCTATAGCTGCATGTGCTGATAGGAGGTGGGTCCTGGTCAGAAGAGGAGGTTCACAGAGGAGGGGGAGATCTGGAAGGGTTTATCCCTCTCCCTGACTCCTCCTGTCTCTCTCTGCCTCCTGGCTGCCATGATATGAGTGGTTTTTCTTCACCACATCTTCCACCATGCTGTTTCTGCCTTAGAACTAGCCAACCAAGAACTGAAAGGTGAGCCCAAATAAACCTCTTCTTTTAGTTTCAGGCCTGTGGCACTGTGTCTCATAGATGGGAAATTGACTAAGACAGGAAGTAACCAAAGATCGTGGGAAGCATTCTACAATGACCAGGTCAGTACCTCACAATAACAGCCACAAAAGCACTAATAAAAACAAAAACAAAAAAAAAATTTTTTTAAGTTTCCTTCCCTGGGAGATTTTCTTATGTTTCCCACTTTGATAAAGATATTTCCTGATTTCAGTGGGAAAGTGAGCCAATTCTGACTGAGAAATAGCTCAACTAGCTCTTAACGTGGACTTATTGACTATGAAACCAAATCTAAGAGAAAAACTGACATATGAAGAAATTAAGTTACTGAATAAAAAGATCCCATTATCAACCAGTTGGGAATCAAAGAGAAAAGAGCATCTCTCTCCCTCTGCCATCCTTCCCTGCAAAAAAGAAAGGAAAAAAGAAATGACCATTGTTTTCACACAAAGAATAACTTTTTCCACACACACACAGATGGCATCCTTGATGACAAACAGTTACCTCAGAATGTGTGTCATTGCTTATCTGGAAACCAGGCACAGGAGTAGGATGTACCCCATGCAGGCAAACCAGGCCTCTGCAAAAATTCTGCCATCTGCAGAACAGGTAGCACTTTATTAGATTAGAACACTGAGCTCTTTTTGAAGAGCAAGAAGTGGTTGATACGGATGTGTATGTTTGAATGTATGAGTAATTCTCTCTGATTTCTTTCCGCCTCTTCCTATGTGAAATATTTGCTCAACATTTTGCTAGTGAATATGAAAGTTGCTATGAATTTCTTTCTCATGTAGTTACAAATCACTTCCACACTTTCCAATGTTCCTTTCTGATTACATGGGCAAATAGATGATTCATCACTGAGGTAGACTATAAAGAAAATAGACAGAAGTCATAGGAGAATTTAGATACTTGGAAAATGGAAATCTTCTTCAAGTAGAAATAAAACATCTGACTTGCTTATCTGTTTCCCAGCAAAGAAAGGAAGCTATTGAGTAAAATAACTGCTAATTCTGACTGACTAAAAGAAATCTACTGGCAGAACAAAAGTGTGGAACTTCTGAGCAAAAAGTATCCTGTCATCTTAGAACTAGAAAGGGGACTTTTAGGCATGGGCTTGAGAATTTTAGATTTCAGAAAGTTAAGAAAAGATGAGTGCAGTGTTATGGTAAGAGATTTTGAAAGAGACAATGGTTCACAATTATTGGAATGTTCTCAGAAATGTAATTCTGATTTGATAATTTTAAAATTATCCCAGTGAAAAGAGAGAGATAAAAACATTCACAGTGTGCTAGGTGTGATGACCCACATCTGTAATCTCAGCATTCATAAGGTTGAAGCAAGAGGATTGCCAGCCTGGGCTACACATAGTGAATTCAAGGCCAGCCTGGAATACATACAGAGACCCTGTCTCATAAAAACAAAATGAAACAAAATCAGAGAAATCAATGTATTTTTTAATAGGAGCTGAAGTTCTAAAAGAGGAATAGCAAAACCTCATTTTGCAAGGATAATTAGTTCTGCAAACATACTTGTAATCTTACCACTTGTATATCAAGCGGATTTCCCCATAAGAAATAATGGAAACTCAAATAATTCATTCCACAATCCAAAAATATTCACATAGAAATGATTGTAATACTGAGGTATAATACAAAATAAAGAAAAATAAACAAATTAGCCTGCACTTACCTTTGAAAACTTTCCTGGCTGGTATGAGGGAAATGAGAGAAGGGTTATTGTGTGGCATGACTTTCACTGTCACTGATGGAATCACTGCTACTTACCGGCTCAATGGAATCTTTTTCTTTTTGTGCGGCTTTAACAAAGAACCTATCTGATTGCACTTGCTTTTCCTTCCTTTTGAGAATTTTGTGGAAAAGTGACATTGCTTTGTCATCAGATTTGTCACTGTCCTTGCACTGCTACAGATTTATTTAGGTGGATCTTTTCTACAAAATTTTTGCAGTTTCCCACATTATACGCATTTCTCT